CATTTAAAAAAATGGCCTCGAGCTCATTATAAAATTGTTGAATATAAGTAAAAAAAGTTAATTCTCCATTTTTCGAAGTTAGCCTTCGAAATCGAGATATGGGCCTTCGAAGTTCGAAATTGGACCTTTGGTAAAAAATTATTTTTAATTATTGCATGTAAAAAGCAAAAAAAGTAAAAATGCAGACATGGTCCGCCTTTTGCTCTCATTTATATGGTATATAATTCTTTTTGTGAAAACTTATATTACAGGTGCTATAACGGGTCAAAGGTCAGATCTTCTAAAAATGAAATACTTAATATTTCAGACAATTTTGAACCGATTTTGAAAAGATTCACATCGTTGTAAAATTTATTATATCTTTCGCTTTCCGCTTTCTTTCGATATGCATATTTGTACACTTCGTATACAAAAATTTTAGAAAAAACACATTTAAATGAAAAAATACCTTTATAAAAAAAATATTTTAAGCAAAAAAATGACTAACCGATTTTTAAACAATTGGTATCGTTGTAAAGGTGATTAAATCTTCTTTCTTCTGATATGCATATTTCTAAAAATCGGTTAATAATTTTTTTGTTTAAAATATGTTTTTTAATCACCTTTACAACAATATAATTTTTTTTTTAAATCAGTTCAAAATTGTTTGCAATATAAGGAAATTAATTTTTCGAAGACCTGAACTTTGACCCCTTATAGCACCTGTAATATAGGTCTGCACAAAAAAATTTATATACCATTTAAATAAAAGGAGGACTGCGCCTATATTTCTAGGATTTTAGTTATTTACATACATGCAATAATTTAATATAATTTTTTACCAAAGGACCTATTTCGAATTTCGAAGGCCCATATCTCGATTTCGGAGGCTAATTTCGAAAACCGGAAAAATCACTTTTTTTGCCTATGACTCAAGTGCAGTTATTAACTAACAAAAAGTATATACAGTGCCTCAACCCAATGACCACGTGTTGATTATTTTTTTTTTAAATATTAGTAATGTTTTTCGAGCTAAATTTATTTTGTTATTTATCTATAAAAATACCGTCCAAGCTTTAACCAAAACCTTAGATTCACAACGGTGTCGTAAGTGTCATATTGTTGTAAACTTTAAAAGCTTAAATAAATGCTTAGAGAAGTTAAAACCACAACCAACTATTTTTTAACACTGCGAAAATTCATAATATGACTTTGATGGTACTTTGCGAACCTTTTTAATATATTTCTTAGGCGTTTAAAGTTTACGACATACAACAATACGACACTTACGACACCGTTGTGAATCCCCCAAGTGATTTTTAAGGTTTTGGTTAAAGCTTGGATGGTATTTTTATAGATAAATAACAAAAGAAATTTAGCTCGAAAAACATTACTAATATTTAAAAACAAACAACACGAGGTCATTTGTTTGATTCACTGTAAATAAAAAAAAAAATGAAAATGAATTAAATGAACAAATAAAAATTGTACTCACTAAAATAATTGCATAGTCCTTGCCTTATTTCTTCAGCTGAGGGTTGATTGTCTCCAACTATAGTAACATATTCAGGATTTTCGAGATTTCTGTTCACTTCTTCCAATCTCTCCAACCACATGTCATTTATAGTGTCGTTCATTTCATTTAAATAGTGGTGCAAGACGCAGCAGGCTCTAATAATGATGGGTGCCTTCCCAATTCGGTTGTCTAAACCTTTTCCAACACGACGGAATCGTCCTTTCAAGTGGCCAAATGCATTCTCAACTACTCTTCTGCACTTTGAAAGCTTATAATTACAGAGTTTTTGTGTTTCAGTTAAGTCCATTGAAAACGCGTATGGCTTCATTAAGGAAGTGGAAAACCGAAACGCAGAATCTCCAATAATGCATATAGGCATTTGTACTCCACCTATTTCTTTCTTACTGACCTTCAGTAATTCGTTCTCCTCCATTACTCGCTTCATTAACGATGCATTATATATCTGCGAATCATTGCATCGTCCAGGAGCACCAATGTTCACATATAAAAACCGATATCTGAACATATATAGAAATAATTAATACATGCTTTTTAGAAAAAAACAACAGAATGAAAGTTAAATAACCTATAATCCACTACAGCTAGTAGAACAATATAATACCATCCTTATAGTTGTGGTAGTCGGTTGCATCGGCTGGATTCGGCCTAACTTCGATGTGGCACCCATCTGAATATATACATATGTATGTACGTATATCTTTGTTTTTATATAAATTAGTTGCAGTTTTAACTTTCTTACCAATTGCTCCAAGGCATTGGGGAAAGCTGAGACGGTCAAAACCATCAACACAGTCGTTTAAAGTTTGTGGAGTCGGTGGTAATTTCTTTATATATTGCGCTGACAAAGCTTGCCAGACTTCCTCGCAAAACTCCCACAAGATTGTGCACACGGTCGATATTCCAACACCAAATAGTTCGGAAACCACTCGTACTCTCCAGACGATCCCAGCGTAAATAGAGCTATCGCAACGCGTTTTTGCAATGGAATCGCGTTGCGCCAGTTTGTGTCGGCTTTGTGCAGGTTTTTGAGGAAATCACAGAGTGTTTTGAAACTAGCGCGGTTCATGCGGAAGTGCGTCTTAAAGAAATGGTCATCGTTGCAATTGCAATTGACTTCCCAGAAAGAAGACTGCCGATTCTGTAATAGAGGAAGTACCATTTATAAAAGGACAAGAACTGATTACTTATAATTTGATTTACCAATTTCCAGAGGGATCTCTGAGTAGCTTTTCTCTGCAGTAACCCGTAAAGCAATAGCTGCTGTCTTCGCAAATGTTGCAAAATGATGAAGTTTTTTTCTTTTCTCTTTTTATATAAGGCCATTGAACTTGCGTAGCTAGCCAGCACTGACTGCAAAACTTGTATATTTGCAGTATACGCAAGAAAAAGTTCGCTTAAACACTTATTGTTTTCCATTTTACCAATTTATTGTAAATAAACAAAAATTCTTTTAAGACAGCTGACAGCCACTCGTTAATCGAGCAGCTGATTGTGTGTGAAACACAAAAATCTAATACTTAATTAAAAACTTAATTGACTCAATTAATTTTCTGTCTGAAAACAGTATTAGACTCAGCTATTAGTGAGTTTGATTGGCAAGTTCTGTTTGGCGATAACGAAGTAGCAGGTTGTTTTGACATCTTCAATTCTAATATTGCTAAGCTGTGAACTGGAGGTAAGGGATAATCCGAAAATTTTTTGGCGCTACAATAATTCCAAAAGAAAATCCTCAAGCATACCCAAAACAGTTTTTTATAAGGAATTCACAGCTACGTCAGTGAAACATGCGGCCGACTCGTTTGCTGATTTTTTGAAGTGAAACTTTTTAGGCGGCGGTATCGCAAAAATGGAGAGTGAAATTTTTAAAACTGAAAACGTTACATGATTGAGAAGGAAGATATAGGTAGTATAGGGAAGGGGAAAAAAGAAATCAAGCGACGCATGGCGGGTACGAGTACCTACATATGTATATATGTATGTTTGAATGCACGTATGTATATACATCCATATATATATGTATACATATATATGTATGTATGAACGAACTCATTGCGCATTTCAGCACTGCCGCTACCAAGCAATATATGTGACCTGGTCTACGAAAAGGGAGCTTACGTGCGAAAACTAGTTTTCTGTGAAAAAGCTGTTAAAAGTAAGCAACTCGTTTCGTCAGTTTCTCATTATCTCGTTAATTGTTCTCCGCGCCGGACGTCCAGTAAGTGTTGTTGTTGGTCCAGTAAGTGTTGTTGTTGGTCCAGTAAGTGTTGTTGTTGGTCGGAATATTATTATAGTTCATCGTGTAAGTTGCTAGTGTGGAACATTTAAAAAAGTAACACTGAAGAAGTGACGTTTACTGTTTCTGTTGATTATCGTCTTCGCATTTCGCATGAAATGAAACATGAGTGTTGATGAGGAGTTCAGTGCCGTATACGGACAATATTTCCATGAAAAGGATGACGAAAACGATGATGAAAACTATGAAGAGAGCGATGATGATGAAGACGAAGTATGTGTATCTCAGGCAGAAGATGATACCGAACAAACTTTTGTTAAGATGGACCTGTATGTTGTTGATGTAAAGGAGGAGGAGCTGGTAACAAAATTTCTGTCAAAAGATTGTTGTAATAATGAATGCCATACACTGATACCACGGGAAATGATCGAGAGTACGCGGAACAATTGTTTAGAGATGTCGAAAAATGAACTTGATTTAGTGATACTAAGTCACATCGAAGCTGGAATTATGAGTAACGAAAAGCTAGAAAGTGTATACGCAAAGCTTGCTGGGCGGAAGAAATATGGACAGAGACAGGATACAGAAGTTATGAGGCAGAGAATTCAATTTACCTTCTACAGAGTACCTGTTTGTCGTTCGTTTTTCCTTTTTGTACATGCCTGTACGACGAAGCGTTACGAAAATTTAGTACGTCATTTTCACGCACAGGGTGTAACAGTGCGCCAACACGGACTGGCAAATAAACCGAGTACACATCCAAAGTCATTTAAACCGGCTGACATCGAAAAAGCTGTTAAATTCATCGAGTCTATAGCCGATTTAATGGCTCTTCCACTGCCCGGACGACTCCCAAAATTTAAGGATTTTCGGATAATGAAACTGCCATCCAGCGAGACGAAGTCCTCAGTTTATCGAAAATACATTTCTTCACTCAGTCATGACGAATTGAAGATGAGTAATTGCAGTTTTCGACGGATATGGTCCAAATACATACCCCATGTTACAGTTATGAAACCAGCGGATGATCTCTGCGATGTCTGCCGTGGTAAGTAGCTCATTATTTTCTCATTTTATAGTTGTATCAAACGTTGAGATTAAATTCAGTATTTTTTCTTTTAATAGGAAACACAATATATTGTGGCTCCATTGCCGAAAGATTTGCCATCGAAGAAACGGAAGGCAAAAACTAGTGAAGATGTTCTCAAACCAGACGAGGAACCAGGTCCATCTTCCTCAGGATCAACACGTAAAAAGATCTCAAGGAAAACGACAACAAAGAAAAATACATAAACTACTCAGCATTATTATTTTTGGCCCATAATACGTTTTTCTAGTGTATAATCATGTCTTTATAGCTTATAATTCAATGTATTTTGTTCATTACCAATAAATTATATTTTGTCGTATTTTTACTCTTCTTTCTCTACATTTTTAGTACACTTCTAAGCAAGTTAGGATTTTCTGCTTTTCACCACGTGAAAAAGCATCTCATCTTCCATCCGAATCAACCAAAAAGTGAAAATTGATTTCTTGACACCTAAGCCCCCTTTCCGTAGACCAGGTCACATATGTATAAATGATGCAAGCGGACTTCGCGTAACTACATCCATTCATACATATATATATATGTTAGTATGGATATATTTATGATGAAGCAAGCGGGCTTCGTTGATGTACTGATGGGCATATGTATGTACTTATGGACAGCAATGTTTTCATGTATGTACATATGTTTGAATGGTTTTATATATATTTGTACGTATGTACATATGTTTGTGTATGTACATATGTTTGTGTACAATTAATTTAATTTTCTAGAGTAGTTTTGTGGTCTTGCTATCTCCTTGTATTAACTCATCCTTCGTTGGTATACTCTCATGAACATATGTGAGGATGATAGCAAGCAGCGTTGCCATTTTAGCCGTTTTCCGGCTAGATTTAGCCGGTTGCGACAACAAACAGCCGGAAAAAATTCGATTTAGCCGGCAGCCGATTTGTTAGCCGCAATTTATTATACTAAAATTGAATGGGCTAAAAACTAAAGAATATTAATAAAGCTCGAAATTTTTACGATAGTATGTTTGTTTTTGGATGTTTCGCAAAGATTTAATCTTGGGTTTATACACTTTTTCTTAAAGAATACATTATTGTTTATAAACAGATAATTAAAATTAAAGAATAATAAAATAAATAGTAAAACCTTGTCCATATGTGAGTGCCGTAAAGGTATTATATTTAAGAAAATCTCTTCTTATAACTAAAGAAGACTTTGTTTCTATATGAAGCTGACTTTGACATTTTGTTTTAATAAAACTTAGTATCGAAAAGTTTCTTTAAAAATTTGCCTAGGCTATGTTATACTGGTTCGTTCAAGCCATTTTTCAAAACTTACAAAGGTAAATACGAACAGGCGAACTGTGAATTTTCAGAGCTATATATTTTTAGTATTCATTACAAAATTTTACTAAAAAGTACTGCGTAGTAGGAAAGTATATTGTAAATGAAACTGTATCAAACAAGTACAATTGTACCAAAAATGCCAACACTGTTCTGTATACATACTTTTTTTCTTTTTTACTTTTTTACTCTTATTTTATCTTTCAGCTTCGCTAAAAGCACTTCTACCAACGCTTGGCTTACCAAATTTACGCCAATTAATAAAATTTTGCGATTTAAATTCATTTTCAATAATGTAAATAACGATTCGTGTTGAATCCAAAATCGCCTCGTCTGAATAGGGATGGCAACTTTTTCACTTTCAACTTCTCATTCAACTACTTATTCAACTTTTGTTGCCTGTAAAATCGCCCCGTGCGAATGCCCTATAACTAATCTTTCTGTCTTCACTGAAGACTATTATTCATTCTTTCGTCGAGGCGTGCAGGTGGTTATACGGTTTACAATGCATTTATAAGGTTTGATGAATACCCTTAATGTAATTAAACTAGTAATACTCTCCAACATATGTAGTCTGCAAGAATATTTTGTTCATTGACTTCAGTAATAATAAATAAATAAATCCAAGAACATTTCCACAACATCCTGAACAGCCCTATTGTAAAATAGTCCTATAGAGCCTGAGCACACTAACCTGCAGCAGTCCACTCGAACGCACACTGGACTGTGCAGTCGGCCGAAAACAGGTTTCAGTCAAGGGGCATCCATACAAGGTGGTGGCAATTGTATATAAGTAAAAGTCCCGTGTATTTTGTTATTGCTTTTTGGTGCAGGAGGATGTCAAAACGAAAGGGAATAGGAGATAATTTTCGTCATTTCGATTTGTTGACATCCTAAAGTTGCGCCACTTCGTCTTGGATGACATTCTCCTGTACTAGTGAAGAGACAAAAATATCCAATAAGCTGATCAATCAACCTGACCTTGTATTGATGCGCCTTGGTTTCAGTTAGTGCATGTGGCACATGCAAACAAAATGAAATAGAAAACATGTTCGATTTCGCGGAATGAAATGAGCGAGGTAAACTCGAACTCTGTTCCCCCTCTTATCACCACAAAACCGGTTTTAAGCATGAACGAAAGACACAAGATCACGTAAGAACAAGAGAGTGAAAAAAGTCGATTTTTTGAGCGGGTTCTACGCCATCTTGTTTCACTGGAAAACGAGCGAAAAGTAAACAAAGCAAAGAAAACAACGAAAACCAAAATGAGCCAAAATCATTGTCAGCCACTTTAAACGCACAATTTAGGTAAAATTATGCAACAAAATGCTTTAAAATGTGTTGTCATGTTGAATTAACTCTTCTTTATGTAATGTTCCCTACCCACTTGTAAGCTAATTATTTATTTAAGTTTATATGTATCACCCAGTAGTTGTCATTTGTATATATAAGATACACTAAACACTCTGTACCGAAAGAAGCAGCCATTTTATCCTTCTTCTTCCGGTGACAGCTAAAACGAGGAGACGTGCTAGAAAAATAGTAAGAAATAAATCGAAGAATATAAAAAGACATCTTTGTAATTTTAAAGACTGCGTTATAGCCTCAGGTGTGGGGTGCTACCCGCTAATATTTAAACATTTTATTTATTAAATAAACCTTGTAACAAGGGAAAATTTCAACAAATGCCGTCGACACGTTCCGCAGGGAAAATGACTGGAGGTAAAGGTGAATTTAAAAACAAAGTACAGCAAAATAAATATTTGGAAAATGTATCTACTAAGAGAAATGAAGTTAATAAAAATAGTTTGAAACCTAATTGTACATCTGATTCGATTATTATTAAAACTGTTGATGGTGACTGTAGTGATAAATCGGTTCTTAATAAGCATGAATTAAATGAAGTGTCAGGTAAATGTGTTCATAAACATGATGAAAAACAAAACTTAGGAGAGGCGGACAACTATTTTGATATTGAAACTGATTCGTTTGAGTTGGCAGTGAGGGAAATAAGTGCTATTGATGAGAGTGTAATTCGGTCAGAAATAGATATAGGGCCCGGTCTGAATGAATGTGAACGAGACGTCGTAACGGAAGTTTTGGCTAGAGAATATTTGTCTCCCACACTGAGTGAGAAGAAACCTTATGACTATAAAATGACCATCCGAACAACCGACGATACACCTTTTTATTGTTTGCCAAGACGATTATCCTTCAGAGACAAAGAAGAGGTTCAAAGGATTACTAATGACCTAATTAAACGTCAAATCATACGGCCCAGCAACTCCCTTTATGCTTCTGCTATTGTTTTGGTAAAGAAAAAGAATGGAGAAACGCGTATGTGCATTGATTATAGGGCTCTTAATAGGAAAACGATTCGGGACAATTTCCCGTTGCCTTTAATAGATGATTGTATTGAGTATATGTCAGGGAAAAAGTGGTTTACGCTTTTGGACTTGAAGGATGGGTTTAATCAATTAGCAATGGATGAGAGTTCTATTCCGTTAACATCTTTCGTCACGCCACACGGACAATTCGAATACCTTAGAATGCCATTTGGGTTAAAGAATGCACCAGCTAATTTTCAGAGATTCGTGTATAATATCTTTAGGGACTTGATAGATGCAAGAGAAATCATTGTATATATTGATGATATATTAATAGCTTCCAACAACCTTGAATGTCACATTAAGACTCTAGGAAAAGTTCTTAAGAGAGCTTATGAAAAAAATTTGGAGCTTAAGCTTGGGAAGTGCAAGTTTTGTTACAACGTAATTGAGTACCTAGGTTATCGTCACTCCATCAGGAATACAACCATCGAAGTCCCATATTAAAGCAATTGCAAACTACCCGATTCCGAAGAATCAAAAAGAGCTTCGTTCTTGTATTGGCTTGTTTTCCTACTTCCGAAAATTTGTACCTTCCTTTTCAAAAATTGCCAAGCCGCTTTTGGATTTGCTACGCAAAGATGCCGAATTCATATTTTCGAAAGATTGTTTAACAGCATTTAGGGACTTAAGAAATAGTTTAGTTAGTGCACCGTTGTTAGCAATATATGACCGAAATCGTGAAACACAACTCCATTGTGATGCTAGCAGTCATGGTTTTGGATCTGTTTTGTTACAAAAACAGGACGACGGCAAATTTCATCCAATTGCATATTTTTCCAAAACAACTACACCAGCTGAGTCGAGGTATCACAGCTTCGAGCTGGAAACACTATCGATCATTTATGCTCTTCGCAGATTTAGAATATATTTAGAAGGTGTACCATTTAAAATTATTACAGATTGTAACTCGTTGACTATGACCTTAAACAAAAAACAGATTAATCCTCGGATAGCCCGATGGGCGCTAGAGTTAGAAAATTTTGACTACTCTATCCAGCACCGTGTCGGAGTCAACCTTGGCCATGTAGATGCTTTGAGTAGAAGTCCGTTATTGGAAAAGGAATATGATAGTATCAATTCAGTTCTTAAATATGAAACAAATGACTTTGCAAGTCCACGGTGCGCTTACCCTGTAGAATCGAAGCTGCTGTCTAGCTCTGAACGCCAGATAAGTCATATGAATAAATGTGAGTTAATAGCCGCTGTAGATTTGGATGACTTGGATGTTCAGATACAAATCGCACAGAATCGGGATGAGAAGCTCAGGGTACTTATGAGTAAATTAGAGAAGGAGGAGGTTGTAGGATATGAACTAGTAGACGGATTAGTATGTCGTAGGATTGGGGGGAAGATAATGCTTTGTGTTCCTTTGGAGATGCAAGAAAATGTAATTCGCACAACAC